AAGCGTACATGCCACAAGTATTTCTGGTGATACCTCGACAGGCCTATACTCTGCATAACAGGAACATTCAAAGACGATTATGAATTGGCTATTTTTGTCAAGGGAAGGAGTTTCCTTATTGTCTCTGTATGTAGGGAAATGTGTCCTCTGTATTTGACCCAATCTGCATTTCCTGCAAATCTGTTCCGTTTTAATGTCATAAGTTTGTTGCACATCTGAGTGATTCCATCTATGCCAAATATGTACATTTCTCCATTGTGAGATCAATAAAGTTAATCTAATCTGATTTTACTGAACAATATTAGAAATCTCTCAATTTGTATCTTTACAAATACACTGTATATAATCCATGACCAACTTTTCAATCTTACAAAAGACTGTCAAATTTCAGAGGTATAATTCTATAGATCAGTGCATATCCATTTTACTTTCTACTGTGACGTAATAAAGTCCAAACAAATTGCAACAATAATCATTTCAGTTCCATGTTGGAGCTTCCTCTCGGCCCTGCAGCACAGCGAGCCTATATCTAACAGATGACAAAAGTTGCATTCCAGATGTACAGTGCTATCTTTGTGTGCACGCTCTATAGAGAAGCATGGGAGAAAAGAGGGAGCAGGGGGAGGGCGGTGGGAGATGGCGCTGGGGGGGGGTTACACTAAGGGTTGAGGCGCTGTGGCTGTGGTGAGGCGGGGGGCACCAGTGCACAGCTGCTAAACTAATGCCTTTTCCCCTTTGCTTCACGTGGAGGGAGACACAGGGAAGTGAGCGCATGAAATAAAGTCCCTGAGAAACCCTGTCAAAACTAGCTTCCACGTTAGCTGTTGCTGAGTTAAAACACCGAAAAGATAATTAAAACAAGGTGCAGCTCCAAAGCAGAGCTGATGGCAGCAGCTACACCCATAACTCCCTCCTGCACCAGAGAAAGACTATTCCCTTTGCACAAGTTAAAAATCTGATTAGAAACACACCCCCAAACTCTTTTTTCCTTTGTGCTTCTGTGGTGTTTCTCGCAGAGTGACAGATCGACGGCCTGCCAACATCATCAGCATTAGACAATTAAGCCTCGCTCGCACACAGAACAAAAAATATATCTCTCCTCTGTAAATATTTACAGCACAAATCTTTTCCATTCATTCGGCAGGCACCAACAAAACCCTACTGTACTCCCTGGCCCTGTTTTCCCCTGTCTCCCCCACCACCCCTACATCTGCGATTCATTGACTTTACAATTTACCACATGTCGAGATGGGAGAGGTCGAGCCTCCATCTGAATCACGGCACAAATATGCGAGTGATTTATTGTTTTAAAAACCCAGGGCCGATTTAGAGCAACTCCACTTTTCCTGAGCATTACTCCTATTGGCAGACCATGAACAATTACAGTTCGGACTAATTAAGCTCGGAGAATGTGCTGTGTGCCGCTAATGTCTAGCAGGCCCCAATTTTAGTTTAACGGTGCCAAACTATGGCTTGCGGCCCCCACCCTTCCCCTTGCTCAAACTTAACTCGTCAAATCCAAAGCAGATTGTACTTTTTATGACTGTTTATTGAGTAGACGAAAAAATAAGGACCATTTCTCTTCCCTGTCTTTGGCTAAGAGAGAGAGGGAGAGAGAAAGAGAGAGGGAGAGAGAAAGAGAGAGAGAGGTAGAGAGAGAGCGAGGGAGAGATGCCGCACAAAAAGAGTAGTGGGAGGGAGCCGTTTCCGCCATACTTTGTAAACAAAAATGATTTGCAAGACAAAAGGAGCACAACCTTCGACTGGATTCAAAGTACATTTTGCGTCTTGAGGCATGGAGTACAGCCGCGCCGGGCGATGGAGGAACCCCCTGTGGACTCCAATTAGGCCCCATTAACATGTAAAGCCAATTTGATAAGGTGTGGGCCCTGTCCCTTAAAGCCGCATTACACTATCTTTCCCCTTGTCACAGCCAAAAATCCGTTTACAGCGGTCCAAGCAGCGTAATCCATATGATATACCATTGTTATGCTTATGCTGCTGCCACATTTAGCAGGCAGTGTTAGTCTTCGCTGATAAGGCCGTGCACGTGAACACAATGGACGTACAATCATTTGGGTAGAAAATCCTCCATTATTTCTTACTGGAATAAAAAATAATGACAAAGGAAGAAAAGGAAGTGTGTGTTAGGGTGGTTATTCCTCCTCCAAAAGGTGATCCCGGTGCGAGCAGAGAGAGAAAAGGGGTACAAGAGCTATTGTTTCAGCCACGGGTTCATGGAGAATCTTTTTTTTCTTCCTCACACAGCGCTGAAAGCTCCATGCTGCATTCTCATCCACCCCTTCCTTACACCGCTTACTAGTTCTTTTTAAAACTACTTGTAATTATACGTCGAAACTCAAAACCTTCGCCAAAAAGTCTCGAGGCCTGGAGAATTATGGGGCCAGGGGTGGCGTCAAATATCTTAACATTCATAAGTCCGAGAGGCAGTAAATAAAGCTGTTGGATTTACGGGCCCGTGCCTCTCTCTCTCTCTATCTATCTCTCTCTCTCGCTCTCTCTCTCTCGCTCACTCTCTCTCTCTCTCTCTCTAGACCTGCTGAGGTGTGCCGTTAGCCCGCAGCGCCCGAGTTAAACCATCGTCTTCCGGCAGAAGCCCTTGCACTAGCACCAGCCAAACACAAAAAAAGGTAGATGCACATGTGGGGAAGCTGCAAACCAGGGCGCACCGGTCAGGCCACCTCCACCAAAGCCTCCACCATCGGGCCTTTGTCTGCGCTTCAGGGAGAGGGGAGTGCAGCAGCCTGGGCCACAGCATCTTGTCAAATTGCTAAATGATCCTTGGAGTGGGAGCCTTCTTGGACGTAGGTGGTAGGAAACACAAATTGTTGCTGGTTATGGCTCCCAGAGGTTAGGGAAATTATGGTAACTGCCGCACAGACGCATTTTTAATCCCTTGCAAAAAAGCCACAGTAAATCTTGGGAAGCAAACGAGAAAAATAGAAAAGGTACACGTACGCAAGCACAACGGTGTCTCGGGAAAAAAAATCGTATCAAAATGAGTAATTCATGAGTGGCAATTAAAACAAACATTAAGCAATATAAATAAATAATGAGTACACTGCTAAAATGATTTAAAGGCCTTTTGATTTGTAGATATGAAATGCAGGTGGAGCAGCCGCAGGAAGGGAAAAGCAAGCAGAATCAAAGGCTTCCGTGACAAAAGAGAGATGGTCTCGTTGCAAGAACAGTCATATTCAGAGCCTTACACGCGCCATGTTAGGGAGCAAGACAGCTAATCAATGTCCAGGTGAATTATTTATGCCGGCTTTAAGTCTAATACATTTATATTACAGGGACTGCTGACTTCAAAGCTAATGGCTGGACACAGTGGGGGCCGAGCGTGTGCAGTAGGAAGACCACCGTGAAATGACACTCTTCAGGTATAGCTTCAGAAATAATAAATCTGACCAAAACTTGCTCTAGATTATCTGTAATGATGTGGAAATGCAGTTAATAAAATGTGAGGATACTACAGATTTTTTTGTTGTTGATTTTTTTAGGTTCAATAAATAGTCATTCTTTCGTTGAGAAAAGGAGATAGTAGGTATAGCCACAAAGAAAGACAACCGCAGCCATTGAAACAAGGGACTGCAGCTCACCTGTGTTTATGCCGAATGGTAGTAATGAGTGACTTATTCCAGCAAGCAGTCGCAATACAAGCCTGGCTGACTAACAGGAAAAGAATTATAGAATATTCTTGAAAGGGCATATGCCAGTAATCTATAAAACAACACATAGAAATACATATATACATACAAAGACAATTGTGTATGCAGCAGGAGAGGTGGCAGGTAAAAAAGCATTGGATGAATATGTGAAAATAAAAGCTTTAAAGAAATGTCAAGGTGTAGCTCAAATGTGGGTGAGTAAAATCAGTTTCATTATGAGGTGTTAGTGAAGTGGTCAGGGCCACAGAGAGGTCATTTTCCCTAACGCTTGCCTTTGCCTTAACCTTGTAAAATGAGATGACAGGTCCTAAAGTGCAGACTTGTAATTGCAGTCGTTTAAAATAGGGGGGCAAAAAAAACACCCCGTGGTTTTAGAAAATTATGCCGCTTAGGGTTGCCATTGCCCAGTGGGACCGGCGAGGTGCTGAGCAAATGAGTAAGTGTGCATAATTATAGGATGGCTGATTGTAGCTAAATAAATAACATGAATTTATTTATAAACATGATTATCAAGGCACGAGTGTGTGTTTTCCCCCCATTTTAAGCAACGACAATAAAAGCACATGCAAACTCATTGACACGGCTGCATCATACAAAGTCAATATGTTGTGACTTGGTTCAAATAAAATAGTATAAAATTAATTTTCATTGATTGATTAAAAAAAAGTACTAGAAACGCTCACGAGCAAATTTCACCTAATGTCTTAGCACAATGTGACACATGCTAATAATTGAGAGTCATTAGCATATTGATTTTGTATGGATGCCATTTTTTACACTGCTTTAAAGGGCTCACACACCAGTGTAAAGGTCTGAATACATGCAGCTTGTGTGAGTAAAAAGAGCATTTTTGATGAGGCCGTGCAAACACAAGCCATTTGCATTATTCAGTGGCTTAAAATCATGCACCTGGAATACAACAGCCACGTACTAAAATGTTATTATAATATTATTACACAAACTGATACTAGTAATAAAAATGAAAATAATAACAATAATAGCATGCTGTTTTTTTTTTGTTTTTTTTTTCTATTTTTAGATGATTCATGTTAGCACTATAGCAGCTCGTTCCCATGTCTTTTCCTATAGTTAGCATAGTTAGCCTGCTAGCTGCTGTCCCCGTGCTGCTGTCCGCGTGCTGCATGCCGCTGTACAGTGCACTTCACGGGGAGTTGGTAAAACTTGGCTCCCACATGTCGCTGCTGTCTGTCGGCTACCCTCGCACTGACAGCCCCGTGTAGCCCGCTTCAGCCCGGGTCCCTGAGTGCGTGAGTGTGTTTGTGACAGACATAAGCAGAGGAAACTTACTGTGCGTGCTGTCGGAGAAAGTGATCCATTGGGAAGGTAGGGGCTTGTGAGATCGGGAATCATAATAAATGGATAGCCCGGGTACGGTGGGCTCTTGAACAACCCTCCATCTTGCCTTTTCGCAGCTAACATGGCGGGGGAAAAGGAGAAAAACTTTAAAAACTGGCCGAATAAGTTTATAAATCCTCATTAATACATTTGCGTAACAGCGCGGTGTGTTCAGTGCGCTCCTCGCCAAGCAAATTACATTGACAAATAAAAACAAAAAAAACAGCATTCACTCACCCTCCTCTAAACTTTCTCTTGTTTTGTCTCTGAAAGTTTCAGATCTAGGTGGAGGCCGTCTTTCCGCCTTGAAATGCAATGAAAACACAGGCATTGCGTTAAAAAACAAGGGGCGAGGGTGATGGTAAACTTTAACATTGTAACAACTATCTAGGCCAGTGTAGGTTCCAACGCAGGGAGACGCGTCGGTCCAGACTTACCTCAGAATCAGAGGAACTGTTTTGATTCGTTTCTGACTCGTTCACAAGAGACGATTTGACATCTGCTAAATCCCTTTCAGCCGAGGAGTTCTCTGAAATTTTCTCTTCTTGCTCCCCTTCGTCTTTGAAGGAAATCATTTCATCGTTCGCTCCCAGGTCGTCCCCTCCACCGCCGTTGAGCTGCGGCATGTTTGCCCGAGCGCTATTTTGTCTTCTGCGGGGGGCAAGACACAGAGTTCTAGACCCCACTACGGAGCCCTAGAAAGTCCGTGTTGAAGTTTCGGCGGCTCTTGAATCGGCGTTTCCAAAGCTCTGGCTGCCTGGTAGAAAAAGTCAAAAAAGAAGGGAATGTTGGCAGAAAAGGGAACCCGGAGAAGGAGGCGAGGCGCACGGATTGAGTGAGTTGAAGTTGGTCGGAGTGGTTTTCAGTTCAAAGGAGGCGCTGATTGACAGATAGAGAGGGATGGAATAGAGAGAGTCTGGATTCGGGATTATTGACAGGGAGAAACACACAAGAAACTAATGAGATTCAAACAGGGAGGGACTTGAAGTGACGTTTTCATAAATAGGAGGAAAAAAAAGCAAGGGGGAGAGAGAGAGAGAGAGAGGGAAAGAGAGGGGGGGAGAGAGAGCGCGCGTAAAGAGGCTCTGGTGCAAAGTGAGCAGGAAGGAGCGCGTTTGGAGCAGGACACTGGGATCACGGGCACAATCTGCCCCTAAAGCACTGCGCACACACACACACGCACACGCACACACACACACACGCGCACACTGCCTATGGGCGGGAGCGAGGGGACAGAGAGGGCTGCGCGTACAATCCATAAAACCCTCCCCTATTTTTACAATTTCTTCATTTATAGCTGATTTTAATGTCTTTTCACTACAAGGCCTATCAAAGCAGAACCCCTCCCACATTGTTTTTGTCTCTGCTTTGTCACACTCTTCTGATCTATTTTTCATTACATTAGATAATGCTTCCTCTGATCTATTTTTTGGATTGAGGTTGTTATTGCTTTTCCAGGACTGGCATGACAGGTGTGAGCTCCTGAGGGACCAACCTGAATTCCTCACTGGATACACACCGGGTTTATGATATTTTATCCTATTTGTGCTACTTTTATCAGTGACGCCAGAGAATCAAAAAAACAACAATGGCTTTGGAAATGTGTATAACCAACATAGTCATTTTTGTATATTGTATAGGATTTACTATGCTAAAAGAGGAATACATTAATGTGATAATATTAATATTCAATTTATATACATGCAAATCATATGTTAAATTGTATATAAAAGGCACATATTTAATAATAATAATATCAGTTGCCTAGAAAGCAGTGTGTGTGTGTGTGTGTGTGTGTATGTGTGTGTTTTTGTGTGTGTTTGTCTGTGATTGGGTAACCTTATCTCCCCAAACCAGGAAAGGCACTTCCTCACATAGCTTTTTTTTTTTTTAAAGCAATTTGAACATGTCTTTTTTTCCTTTTATTTATTTATTATTATTTATTTTTTTACTTTGCCACAGATTACCACTGTCTCTCTGTGTTCCTGAATATGACACTTACACATTTTGACTCCCCCTTCTTTAAAAAAAAACAAACAAAAAAACAACATCAAATCTGCATAAGATCAAAACCAATTGCAGTTTTATTGTTAGACATGTGTTAGCGTGCTATAAACAAATATTATGACAGTAATTTCTCTGTATGCGCCGAGGAGGCTTGTCAGAAATGCAGCGATTGGGGAATGATTATTCAGCAGCAGCAGTGGAGCCTGCGCTGGTGTCTCCTACAGGACGCCTGATGAACGAGCAGAGGACACGGGACATGACATAAAGATAAACTCAGAGATGTTCCTATATCAGCCTCATGAAGCAGCAATGTCACTTAAATTATTTACACGTTTAAATAATATAATAAAATGAGTGTTATTAAAAGCTATAGTACTTTATAACATATGAATAATGGACAATACACATACATACATGAAAAGACATTGGGCTTATATTATACTGTTATATTGTAATTCTGTTTTGATTATCGACACAGTAAACAGGCTTAGAAAATAATAACACAACTTATTTTTTTAACATATTTTTTTTTAACACTGTTTTAACACTGTATTACATCAAATGGGCTTTGTAAAAAATAAAAAATAAATTCTTACAATTTTTTTCTCATTAACCTGTGTATTTGTACAGCTACTGCTCGTATACACTCAATTCTATTCAATTAAAATAACTTTATTCATCCGTGAGTAACTTCATTTACAGACGCACACCAGCGGGGGCACGTTAAAGTACAGAAACACAATAAAGATACAATATAAAATACACACAGATCTCTACATCAGAATAGAGGTGTGGAGGAAGCTGGATGTGGCTCTTTTTGTTTTGAATGGGATTGTGCTGTGACTTATGCAGCTTGTTGTTTTTTTTATATTTCTTGACCGGTCCAATGGCGAGGAGGAAGAGGAGAAAGAGGAGGAGGAAGAGGAGGAGGAAGGGTTTGTGACATTTGGGAGAAACGTCTGCAGCTCCTCTCTCTTTTCCACACATGAGCAAAGAAACCTGCTTGTATAGAATTATTATTATTGCAGGAAAATGTAAAATCAGATTCAATAATTTGATTCCCATATGGTTTTTTTAGCCCATATACACACACCCACAGAGTTTATTCTGTGGTCGTGATTCATGACTCCAATTTCACATCTTTGGGGTCACAGGATTCAAAACAGGGCATAAACATGTCAACATATGCTTTTATTTTCAAAACAGAATAAAAAAATGGTGAAAAGTTTTACTACACATGTTCCTAGTACTATCCAAAGCCTTATAATATGATCACAGCACTAAAGCATTCTGGGTAGTGTAGTTCTAAAGCAAAAATATCACAGTTTAACCTTATTTTTTCGCAAAACCAGATGGATCTCAAACGTGCTTTTTCCACCTACGTCTTCATTAAATTATTTCCAATACATTGTTTTTACTGCTATTAGTGCTTAAATATATAGGACTAATTAACTAACCAATGTATATAAGTAAGGTTTTTATACAAGTACAAATTCTGTAGACATATTTTGGTTAAAAATACAAAACAAATAAGTTTGCTATGAAATAATACAAGCACAATATAATTAATTTACAGTATTCCACCTTTTTCTTTCATCATTTTGTCCAAACTATTCTCAAATCTCTGTCATAAACCCACAATATGTAACAACACACACAAAGGCTTCGTCGTAATGGTTTTAAATGCGATTGTGTGCCCACTACATGTGATGTTTTACTGCTTAGACCTTGAGGCAAAATCACAAAGCTGAATATCTATGACCAATATATAAAAAAACTACAAGAAAAACATATATTTACCTTGAAATGCTTGTATCAGATAAAGCGGAGGAGTTCAGGACCGGAACGAGAAGCCTTTTACACAGTAGACATTTTAGCTTCTTCCATTGTTTGCTATTAGGGGGATACACTGGGCATGGATTGGTTGAATAATTTAATAGTATAGAGAGACTGGGTCATTATCCAGTATTTGAATACGCAAAGTAAATAAGGATTTGGCTGAAAACGCTTGTTAGGGCTCAAGGCACATGGCGTTTGTTTATGGGTCAGTATGGAAGGGCCGGAGCGAGTACAGCTGTGGTTTAGCGGGTCATGTGGGGTCCGCTCAGATTAATGTAAAAGTGTGTTATTATCCTACAGCTGTTGTGGTTTTGCTCAGTATGTCTATAGTTTAACCGTATTTATGAGACCGCAAGCGAGTTAGAAGTCAGGACTGAGATTGGAGGGACCGGTGTCAAACGCATTTTTGGTCAGAGCTGAATGAAAATAAGAAAATGTTCATGGGCTGAAAGAAGAAGAAAGAAGAATAGAAGAGATTTTGTATATTATTATGAAGGTGTTGGGACATGGCTTGAGTTTCACTATTGAGCGACACGGTGGCTGAGTGGATAGCACTCTCGCCTCTCAGCAAGAAGGTCCTGGGTTCGAATCCCGGTTGGAACAGCGCCTTTCTGAGTGGAGGTTGCATGTTCTCCCCGTGTCTGCGTAGGTTTCCTCTGGGTGCTCCGGTTTCCCCTACCACTAAAAACATGCACAATAGGTCTGAATGTAGATGAGAGAGTGAATGGATGGTGTTGGGTCGGAGGCTTTGATGGACCAGTGTGTTCTGGACTCGCTTCTGTCATCACCGTGTGTGGAAGGACTGGAACAATATCTGACTCTGAACATTGTAAAGCGCTTTGGGTCTGTACCTTGGTCTGTTAAATGCACTATATAAATAAACATGACTTACTATTGTTTTCTGGTTGATATTTCTGAAGACAAAATGTGTTAATTGTTTAGATTTAACCAAAACTATAATAAACAAAAACACATGTGACTGTCAGATTCAGATTCATTTATTTGCCATTTGCAGTAAAACCACATTGGAAAAACTGTGCAAGACTACCCCAGTGTGCACCAGACGACACACACCAGAGCTCTTGTCGAGGGCTCCATCGTTCTCTCGGTGGAACGCTTATTTGCATTTGTGGTTATATATATACATTATTTACATTATAGAGGTATATTTCTCAAACTATTGTATACCGGTAAATAGATTCTTGTTGCTTTTTCTGAACAATATTGTAATGTAGACTGATAACCCAATTGTGTATTTATTTATATTAAAATTACCGATTTGTGTTTTATGATCAATCAATGTTTAGAAATAATTTGAATGAGATTGTTTTCTTGATGGAAGCACGAATCAACATCTTACCGTTAAAGGCACACCGCGGACTTTGTGACCTAAAGAGTTGACACAAATGAGTTATTTTATATGAATACTTGGGCCAATATACAGCGCTTGACACTTGCAATGCTCCGAGCGGGGCTGCCCTCTTGAAATACCGCCCATGTAAGTTTCGAGCAGACGGACCGTCTGCCACCAGGTCACGTGACTTGGAAGAAAGACTTGCTTTACGGCTACAGGCGCTGATATACTCATGGAGCTAAGGCTTTTGCTACTCATTTTTCACCTGCTCGACTCCTGGTCATGGCTGAGGCAAGGAAAAATTTTAAACCTTCGGAGGAGGCTAAAAAGAGGAAACGCGAAAGGGATCGTGCTGTAAGCTGCATGTCTGTATGAGCGCTGCTCTTCACCTGGTTCCTGGATGTCATCGACTGCAAAGATGTCATT